AGGAGAGAGAGAGAAATAAGAGGAGGAGAGAGAGAGAGAGAGAGAGAGAGTCGCGGAGTCCAAAAATAGCGGGCGAATGTTGTGAATGGACGGGTTCGAGAGCTCGGCTTATCGATGCGTATCTTAACGGTAATGGCTGGTACAAGGGAGCCGGTCTCTCCTTCGTGACTGCTCTCTAAAAAGAGGTCTCACCTTTGCTCCACATCGAGGCGCTCGCAGCGCGGCGAGATGTGGGTCGGCCGTATCCGGGCCAGGCCGGCCACGATCCTCCTCCTCCTCCTCCTCCTCCTCCGTCGAAACGCGCCCTTCAAACTCGACTCGACCGATGCGAATTATTTTCCTGGTCGCGAAAACCCGTCCTGCATCGATTTCTGGAAAAATGAGAAAATTGCGATCTCTGTGTGTGTTTCTCATTTCCTTCGAGCGTAAAAAGAGAAAGAAGAGATTCTGGATAAATCATCTCGGTACACTGATCTACCCGAACTCAAAGTGCACAAAGGAGAGGCGCGTAATCGTTGAAAGGATCTCGAGAGGAGAAGCAACAGTTGTCACACAGAGAGAGAGAGAGAGAGAGAAGGCCGTGTTCCGTTACACGGTTGCCTCATCGACGAGATCGCCCTATCAACGTCGACGAGGGAGCCGCAGGAAGTCGATCGCTCGTCTCCTTACACCTAATTGCCGGACTTCCACTCGTCCGCTCGTTTTCTGGTTGCGTAACCGAACCAGAGCGGTCAAAGACCGTTCCGAATCCACGTGAATCCATCGTTTGCATAGCCTTGCATTCTCGACAAGCTTTAAACCACTCCCTCTTTTATTTGGATTACGAATATATATATATATATCACATATAGTGTATACGATATATATATGACGCGAGCATCGTGCCGATCGATAATTCATTTTCGAACGAATAACGTGGAAGATGCTCGATCTCGATCGAACCAGAGCGATCAAAGATCGTGAATCCATCATTTGCATAGCTTTGCATCCTCGACGAGTATGCGACAAGCTTTAAAGACTATATGTATGTATGTATATTTATTTTCAAGAATCTAAGAGATAATAACGTTTCCTTTTCTGTACGTTTGATCGTTCGAAACGGTACGAAGATTGCACGAAAACGCGGATCGATTAATAAATAGTTACGAATAAGTGTGAATATTTTAACGAGCAATTGCTCGAACAAGTAACTTTATGCGAAATTTTTAACCGGTTACGCCTTCAACGTTGCGCCAATGCCCAACTCTGGCTTGGAAGGAGAGTCATGCGCATGCGTCCCATCGTGTTCTAGCTATGGTATATCATATTCCTTTTCGATTCTTGTTCACAGGAAGCAGAAAATCGAAGGCCTCTCCATCGATCGTGAGAATTTCACCGGCGAATTATTATACCGGAGACCAGGAAACGCACGCGGTTTATTTATATTCTCAATGCCGCGTGCGTCGCCGTATTTCTTATGGGCGAATCGTTGCCTGTCGCGTCGTTCGCTGTGCGTCGTCGCTTCCTGTTACTTGTGTAACTGTTACAAGCGATCGCGGAGGACGACGTGGAAATGGGCTGGCGTGAATATAAAGAAGCCACTGGTTTTCGTGGCGTAATTGTCCGGGGGATCGATCGAACGAAAATTTCGTTCGTTAGAAATCCAAATCCGTTCTATTCTACGAAATCTGCGAAAAGTCGTTCTTCCTAGTTTCTTTCAAAGTGCAAATTTCGCGAGGCGATTTTGCAAGTATAATACGCCCTCTGACACGACGAATTAATCTTTCATTCAGATACACGGATACACAGTTTTTAATTATGCATACGTCGGAGTCGTATTCGCTTACATTTTTTCCCTATCCCCGATGTTCGATGGTATATTAAGATTCGTTCCACCGATTCGCGTATTTTATAATTCACGTGTCATTTCTAACGTCACGCTAATAACAAAAAAATCTTCGAAAGGATAATCAAGAAGAAGATGGAAAGAGTTCGGTTCGACCGTATCCGAGGAAAGCGCGACGCCTCGGAATCGATGGAGAAAGATAAAAAAAAGTGGACGGGGGGCGGGGGAAGGGGAGCGGAGAGAAAGAAGCGTTAAGGAAATGCGGAGGTGCGTTAGCGCGCAAGCGCGCCAGGGCACGCGGGAAACTTCGTGACCCATTGGCCCAGATAGCGAAAGCAGCGACGCCTTCCACCATTCTACTTACTACCAACTACGTTCCTTAACTCGGTCACTCGCTTTTCGATATTCCACTCAAATAATTAATTTCGTACTTTTCAGTGTGTCTTAGCTGAACGAAAAGGTTTCCCATCCTTGCCTATCGATATATATATATATTACGTTAATAACGATAAATATTTATTAGTAACGAACGAGAAATACAGAAATATTGAATTTTCTTCGAACGAACGAACGAACGAACGAACGATCGATGCGTTTCACGGTCGAAATTTCCATAGAGAAGAAGGCAAATGCTTCTGTTTAAGCATTCGAACGAAAAGAAGATCTGGTTATTCCAACTTTATCGAAAATTTCCCATCGCTCGATTCTTGATATATATCATATATCGGTTTGCTATTTTAAATATAGCCTAGACGACAATGACGGGTCGTCTCCCCTGTCCTCGTTCCAAGCTTTTTTTAAATTCGATCCGGACGAGGAATACTAATCCGGTTGAAACATTTTTGGCAAGTCGGATAGGGATTCTTAATTCAGTCCCCGGTTCGTTTATATAGTCAAGGTCGATGTTTGGATTGTGCAATTCATAAGCGGGTTTTGTTATTCGTCCGCCTATCTGTTCCTTCTCTCTCTTTTTCTCTTTCGAACAAAAATCCCTTCTCTGAATATTATCGGAGAGAGAGAGAGAGAGGGAGAGAAGAAAAATGCGTTTAGCGGAGTGGTTCGATGGAGATTTCCAGATCCCCGGCGCACGAAACGGCGTGCAACACGGCGAATGAGAATGGCGCGTGTCGCTGCGATCGATTCCTATGTAGAGCGAAGGACCGTTAGAATTGTTCCCCTTATTATGCAAACGACGCCTCGCGCGCTCTTTCCTCCACGATTCCTTCCAGGTTTCCTCGAATCAATGCCAATCGCCCCCCTCCCTCCTCCCATCACGTTTCCTCGACATATCGGATAATTGTGAAACAAAGAAGAGGAGGAGAAATTTGAAAATTTTATCCACTTTGTACATGTTCATTGCAATTAATATTACCCGTCGTTGAGTAAACCTTTTACAACAATATTCGTTTTTCTTCGACTCTAGATAAACGAGAAGAGGAGAAGAAAAGGAAGAAGAAGCCGAGAGAGAAAGAGAGAGAGAGAGAAACGAGCCGATTCGATCGTGGTCGGCCATGATATATCCTTGATAATGCTGCAAGGACTGGCAGGCTTCCGCTCGACGGGACAAAGAGCGGAGTGGAAAAAAAGGAGGAGGAGGAGGAGGAAGAGGAAGAAGAAGAAGAAGAAAAAGAGGAAGAAGAAGAAGAAGAAGAAAAGGACGGTGCGGGGCGAGGATTTACCTACAGCGATAAATTCTGGCGCGCAAGGCCGCGGGAACGCTTTGCACCACGCGTAGCCATTATAACTGCCGCGTCTACACATTGTTCAGCGACCAAGTAGTAACGCAAACAGCAAAAGTATCCGCGCTGGAGCTCGCCAATCGTTCGAAAGCTGTGCACACAGACGGTCTAGTTTACTCTCTCTGTTCAATAATGCACAGCCGGTATTAAATTCGGTATCGCGTCTATGTCCAGAATCCTTATGCCACGCGGCAAACGTTTGAAAGCACGAGATATTTATATATGGATTTTCAGTCACAATGTGTGACTTATGTCGAGTTCTAATTAATGCATGTGCAGAATCCTTATGCATATGAATTTACACTGCGATTCTTAAACATTTGGCTACAACAATTGTTCGAATTAATAAGAAATCTCTAGTGAATTGGATTTGTTGGAATACTTATGCCGAATTTACATTGCAATTTTCGAACATCCGTACTAGAGTTCTAATGGAGAATTGGACTCGTTTGAATTCTTATAATTTAATTCTTGCAATTTTCGAATATTTGACTATAATTGTTCATAAACTATATTAGAATTCTGGTGAGCCCTTATGCCGAATTTACATTGCAATTTTCGAACATTCACACCAAAGTTCTAATGGAGAATTGGACTCGTTTGAATCCTTATCACTTATATTGCAATTTTCGAATGTTTGACTATAATTGTTCATAAACTATATTAGAATTCTGGTGAATGCAGTGCAGAATTGGACTCGTTGGAGCCCTTATGCCGAATTTACATTGTAATTTTCGAGCATACGCCAGATTCTAATGGAGAATTGGACTCGTTGGAACTTTTATACCTAATTTTCGAACATTTGGCCAATTGTCCACGAACTATATCACAGTTTCAATGAACGCAGTGCGGAATTGGACTCGTTGGAGCCATTGCAATTTTCGAACGTCCATATCAGGATAATTCCAATTGGACTCGTTCAAGTCCTTATGCCTAATTTACATTGCAATTTTCGAACATTTGACTACAATTGTTCACTATAAAAATTATTATGTCCTCACCGGAATTCTAATGAAAAATTGGAACTTTTATGCCATAATTTTCGAACATCTGTCCACGAACTATATCAGAGTTTTCAATGAACGCAGTGCAGAATCGAAGTTACTTACATTTGAATTTACATTTGAGAATTATTCGCAAAATAGAAATCGTGCACAAAAAAATTAGATTCATCTTCAACTCTCGCGTCGAATTTACATTTTAACCCTCGAATATTTGGTTGGCACGATTGATGAGAACGCGGCATAAGGCGTCGCGTGGCGCTGAACGACACGGCGGAGAGGAGATGTCTCTCTCGGTTACGTAAATCTGGCGGGAAACGATCGGTGGCCGATCGAAGTTTCGTGAAACGAGACGCGGAAAAGAGGGATCAATAAAACACGCGAATGACGCATTCGGTTTATGCTGTGCCGCGCTACGATCGATCGGAATAATTCGATCGATTCGATCGAAAATATTTTAATTTTTTTTNTTTTTTTTACCAGATATTATCAAGTATGTCACGCCACTTTTTCGAGTTATTCTTTTTTTTTTTTTTTTTTTGTCACGAAACAGTTTTTCTTGCAGAAAAACTCGCAAAGATGAATAATATATATATATTTTTGCAATGACTTTTTATCGAATATCTCGTGTTTTCGCGAGAATTATGTATATTTATATCGCTTGCGCATAACATTGAAAATGTTTATATGAACACGATTTTCTTACTAGTATATCTAATTCTGTATAAATCATCCATTTAAATCTATCTTTTATCGATCGCGTTTTCTCAACGAATTATTTATAACGAATTATACTCGTCGTGTAATAAACGTACGAATCGTTTGTTAATTAGGATGAATAATGGGTTTCCTCGTAACGTGAAACATCGGAAAGAGACGGTTGGGATGGTTCAGGGAATTCAGTTACGTCATCCAGATTCGCGAAAATGCGGCCTTCCACCTCCTGGAAATCCAGGGAGAGCGAGACTGCAAAGGTGAGACTTTACCGTGTCGTTCTACAATTGCAGACTACAAATCTACTCTTCTGAGAAAAGAGGAAAAGTCCCTTCCAATCTTTTTCGACTCGTTCGTATGATTATCGATCGAATTTAAACGATCGAAGAAAGAAGGCAAGAAGATCGAAGAAAAAAATTTCGATCGAATCGATGATTAAACAATGGCGAAGATAGTTTCGAATGATCGAATCTAACGTTTAAATATTAAAGATGGCGGCAATGATCGAAAAAAAAAAATCGCGCAATTTCGACCGAATCTAACATCTATTAAAGAATGATCAGAAAAATCGGGCAGCTTTGAACTTTAATCCAATATTAAAAAAAAAAAAAATTAATTTCGATCCAAAGATACTTTGAATTAGTTTAAACATCGAAAGAAGATCGAAGAAAAAATCGCGCAATTTCGATCAATTCTCAACGTCCAAACATCGAGGCTAGTGTCAACGATAAAAAAAAAAGATCAATTTCAATCGAATCCAATGCTTAAGCAATGCCGAAGATAGTTGGAATAATTATCGATCGGATCGGAAACGTTTAAACATCGAAGAAAAAATTTCGATCGAATCGATGCCTAAGATAGTTCGAATAATTGTCAAGAGAACCGGTACAATTTCTATCAATTCTCACGTCTAAATATCGAGGCTAAAGAAAAAAAATCAATTTCAATCAAATCCAATGCTTGAACAATGCCGAAGATAATTAAAATAATTATCGATCGGATCTAACGTTTAACCATCAAATGATCGGAATAATCAAGAATCGAAATAATTAATAAGCAGCATCGAAGACAAAAATTCCAACGTCCAAATATAATCGAGGATGGAACGATTCGAACGATCGTTAATAAGTCGGTCCTTGCATAAGAGATGACGCACGGGGCCGATTATTTCGGCCGGCTATTTCGGACCCAAATGAGGAGAACGAGAGAGAGAGAGAGAGAGGAGGGGCGTGCATCTGGCGTGGCCTTCTTCAGCAGGTGATGGGCCCCGTTATCATAAAAGAGAGAGGGGAGGCACCAGACGAGCCGGTGGCCTGTACGCGCTTATTATGTAACTATCTTAACTGTAAATATTTACCAGGCCGGGCGACCCCCACCCACCCACCAACGGATAGTCACACTCGGCTGGTTGAGCGTGGAACAGAAAAGTAGACCGAAAAGAAGTGGACGCGGTGCGAGCGAGCGAGAGAGAGAGAGGAACCGTTTAAAAATACCAAAGTGGAGCACTCCGCTACGCTCCTGGAATCGATTAGAGGAGGGGAGGATACGCCACTGCTGCCCCCACGAATGGAAATTTCCTTTTTGTCGTTTTCGAACCGAGGATCGTACGATCGTTTCTTGAAATTTTTGATTTTGCGTCCGGATTTGTTTGATCGATAATTGGTAATTGGATTTTTCGAGTTTCAAATATATATATATATATGTATGTATAAAGAGAAATCGGTACGTGGAGAATAATAAAGATTAATTTCAATCATTGTTTGGAGTTTCTTTTCCTTTTTTTCCTCGCAAAAGTAATTAATTAATCCCAAGGCGAGACGAGAGAATGAGAAACCTTCGAGACACGAGTCAGAAGGAAGTTGGATTTTCTTCCCGTATTTCGATTTCTTCTTCTTCTTCTTCTTCTTCTTCTTCTTCCCGTTTCGTCTTTTATGGCTTCAACGTCATTGGCAACAACGCTCGGGCCAATTTTAGATTAGATCGTTGGACGTAAACACAAAAGAAGTAAACTCCAGCAAAGCCGAAACCGCATACATTTTGCGAAATGACAAAAAAACTATACGTTTAAAATCACATCGATTCGCATCGTTGAAGAAAATCGTAATCGAAGGCGTAATTTATTCTTCCGTTTCTCAACGCTTTGTTTTTTTTTCTTCTCTCTCTCTCTCTCTCTCTCGCGCGCGCCTTGTCCTTGCCATTCGAAACTCGCGTCTGGCATTGAGGAAAACTTCCGGAAAACAGTCACGTTCAAGCGGACGTCCTCGAGCAAGCTTTTCTTTTCTCGTCCATTTTAAACGGGTGAGGGGGGAGGGGAAAAAATCCACGAACGGATTTAATCGAACCAGGAAACCATGTATGTATCATTATCCCCCGTTTTCCTTAACTCTCCAATATTTTTCGAATCAGAAGAAAACGTAAAACGAAAAAGTTCAAATCGAAGATCCGTTTCCGCCTCCGATCTCGCCCGACTACACATCGTTTCCCACTTTTCGCGCTCGAACAGTTATACAACGCGCGCCATTATATCTAAGAGCGATATCGAAGAAATTTAATCGCGTTTGTCGTTCCATCCCATCCAAGATTTGTCCACTTTTTTCTAAAATAAATATAAATTCTATCGATCTGGAAAGAACGGAAGGGGAATTAATAAAATTAATAATAAGTTAAATTAAAAAATTAGAGAAAATTTCGCGAGGAAGCGGAATCCCCTTCAAGATCACGGCCCTGGGCGGGCCATGCCAATGGCATTGACATTGACGAAATCGTGGGGCCCGACTTTGAAGCCTCTTAGAACGGGCTACACGTTACGTCGAGGGGGACCCTCGCGCATAATAAGTGTTACATGTGCACTTTCTTCGAGCGAGCGCGAGTTCGGTGGAGAGAGAAGAGAGAGAGAGAGAGAGAGAGAAGAGGGGGGAGAAGCAGGCCTCGCGTGAAAGTTGCGAGGAACTGTGGCGCCTCCGCCGGATCCAGGTAAAAAAACAGCCACCTTCCTCCTCGCATTGAACTTGCGCCTTCTCAAGGATCCTGACCCGGAATGCCGAGGAACCACCAAAACACGATTTCACAATCGTGACGTGTCTCGACTCGGTGAACTCGGTATTACGTTCGTCGTGATACTTTATCCCCTCCTCCCTCCCTTCCTTTCTTCCTTCCTTCCTTCCTTCCCTCTTCCTTTTCAACACACTTGTTTTCGAGGGAGGAAGAAAGAGTTTGATGAAGAAAAAAAATAACAATAAATCGTATACATGTATATATACTTTCGATGTCTACACGATTATTTTCATTAAAAAAAAAGCCAAACGCTAAATGATCGCATAGAAAATCATTTCCGGGCTCGAGCCGTGTAATCGAGCACGAATCGATCGAATCGAGGTAATAAAATAAACTTGGAAAACAAAGAGAGAGAGAGAGAGAGAGAGAGAGAGAGAGATAAAGTTGTTTGAAAATTTCGCCTTTTCGAACGCGTGCATGCGCATGGCTAATAGTCGGCCGCCGTTGAACCGCTACTCGTTTCAGTTACGAAACGAGGTATACCGGGATTACGAAACGAGAGGACGTAATATCGGTTGGTGCGATGTAGGCGAGCCGATTCTCTCTCCACGCCGCGCCGCGGCTTGTATACCGTTAGATTTTCTCCGCGATCGTTGTCACACTTCTCCAAACGATACCTCACGGAATCGGTTCTCCTTTCCGATGGATCGAAAATTGCGATACTTCTCGTTACGTGTTAAATGCGAAAGTTCGAATTGCTAGATTTCTTTGTTTTCTCTTTGGAAGAATGGAAAATTATTGTTATTAGGATAGCTAGTTTCTAGATATTAAAATTTTCAATTTTTTTTTTTTTTTGCTTTTTTTGATTCCGAACGAATTCCAAGTGATAATATGTCTCGAATGCAGGCGGAAAATCGAGAGAAAATTTATTTCCGCGAGGAAAAGTAAATTTACGCGGTACTGGTAATCTGGAAATTCTACTTTTCGAGAGAAAAGTACTTTTCAAGAAAGAAAGTTCGACAAGGGGCAAGAGGTTGGAGAACAGGTTCGATCCCAGATCGATTTTCCACGGAGATACATCTCTCTCCGTGGAACATGAGATGTCGAAAGGCAAAGGGCAACGGCCTTTTCCAGACCACCTACGTCGTATCGTCTCGCGATCTCTTCGAATTACATTCCAAACAAACGTCTCGCGTGATAACGAATCGAGCGAAGCGTGAAATCGAAAAATAACTAAAAATAAACGATATAATTACTGGAACGATACTTTTGAATTTTAAGAGGTCAGTTGTACATAATTTCATGCTCAAATTCGTCTAGAAGTAGAATCTTTTTAAAGACAGATTCATCCAAGGCAAATTCCAATATTATTGGCAACAGTGTGGATTGGAAGAAAGAGGGGAGGAGAGTACAGGATGTATCCTTGTTTTTACGAGAAGCAAGTGCTGACTGGGCTCTGAAACGTCGCAGGACGAGGGGAGGCAACTTTCACGCGCACGCGTACAGTAATAGGCAAGCGCGTTAAATGTAATGGATCGGCCTCTTACCTCACTCCTTCATCACTTCCAACGTACTTTCCTTCGCTCACTTATTACCTTTCTAACCGCCACGCCGCTTGAATTTCTTCGCGGAAGTTTGACCGTGACGAGGTTAAGATCCCCTCGAAACGCTTTTTCCGCCGAGAAACTACCTACAGCTCGCTTCAAAATCCGATAATTCGCTTAAGATTTTAAATTCTCGTTCTCGCGAAAACGTAACATCGGACGAATTTCTCGTTCGACGGGCGGATCTTTCAACGAGCGGGACTTTGCTTCGAACTTGCTTGGAACAAATTGGATTTGCAGGAAAGAAGCTCGAAGAAATATTATTACGCGTATTTATCTACTAGAGGTTATCTAGGTTAGGTTAATATGGAATGAATTGATTTTCTAAAAGGGGGATAAAGCGAAGAATTGTCGAGGTTAAAACAGATTGCGAGGAAAGTATTCGATAGAATTATTGAATCAGCCTGTAAGCAAACGACCAACAACTCTTCCGTTGAGATATTCCACGTTGGAATATTACATGAAACTTTTTGTTCGAATAACAAATAATAATATATTTTCACTGCAACATACTTTTTTCATATTATTTTTTTTATATCATTCTATGTTAATAGAAATTACGGGAAAATCTTATCTGGAAAAATTCAAACTATTTAATAATAAATATTAAAAAAACAACACTTTAGTTAACGAATAAAGTATTTAAATCTTATAATAATTTTAAAAAATTGAAAAAATAATTTTAACTTATTAACTCTTTTAAACGATACGAATATATTATTCGTGTTAATATTTCGATTCAACATACGTTTACATTTGGAACTTATACGAAACAGCTACCTGTTTCGTATCTAACACTTGATCGTGTCTACACTTTGCACTTTGTAAATTTAAATTAGAAGTTCCAACACTTCTGATCCTTCGATCCTCGAGAGAGAGAGAGAGACGAACAAAATTCCCTCGAACTTTTCTCACTGATGAAATTGATTAGCACGAATTCTTTTGCTACGTGTCCCATCGAAAACCAATCGTATCTAACGACTATAAGTAAACATAACAGTACCCAATTCGACACCTTTGAGAGCACCGTTAGCCCACGGAACCATTTTTTTTTCAAACGTCATTTTTACATTGTGAATTCTTTATGTATATATAAAGATGAAATAGTTACGTTTTACGACACGTATACATGCAAAACCGTACAAATTTGTAATCCAGTCGCGAAATTTAGCAAATATAATCCTAAGTTATCCGAATAGTTGGAAACGATTGGATCATCGATTTAATCAGCCAGAGTGGGTTCGAGGCAGGGAGGACGAGAATAACAATGGCTCGTCTAATTGGGGGTTCAAGGTAGTGGCCTTGATCTATCTCTCGCAACGTTACGAGGAACCATACGGAACCCGTTTCGGACCTGTCCCGTTACGTTCGCGGTGCCACGCGAACGAGATCGTCCACCTTCGCTCGGAATTCTATCCCGTTCAATCCTCGAGACCGGAGCTCGAGAGAATTCTCTATTAGAATCATTATCTACATATGACGCTTTGTCTTTGAAAATCCTGACTAATCCGAACGTACGAAAATTTCATTTCCATTTACGAGGATACTCGTACGAGATTGAAATATCTTCGAAACTCTATCACCTACCTCTACAACATATTATTCGCTCGAAACAAAAATCGTTAATTAGCATTAATTACATTGTCGACGAATTCTCTGCCTAAATGCATCGGCAAACAATAATACAGAATCACATACAGAAATCGAAACCACGGACACGAAAACTTCTCCCCCCCCCCGCGATTATTACAAAAAACATTCGCGCCCTAAAACCGTCCTATTCGAGACCCGACCTTGACTCCATCGAACTCCATCATCGCCACCATACCTACACACACGCGCGCGCGCGCACAGGATGCGTCCTTGCCGCGGTTTTCCCCGTTCAATGGAGGGGAGGGGAGGGGAAGGAAACCCGTTTCGAGGTTGTCCCGTTATACGCGGATATATCCAGGAGAGGAGCCGGGAGGGGTGGTGGTGCGTTACACCGCCGCGCGGGATGAACGAACGAAACGAGTCAGGGGGGAGGAAGGAGAGCAGGAGGAGAGCCAGTTTTCGAACGGTCCTGGAGAAAGTGGTGTGGCCGTACACATTTACTGACCTACATTACCCTCGTCTCGCCCCCACCCTCGACACCCACCATCGGCCGCCACAAATTGTCCCGTTACAACGCCGCGTACGCGGAGCGGCCGGCCGGTACACGACGTCATCGGTGCGACCCACTAAATGACACTCCCCCTCCCTCCACCTCCCTGCCGCGCCCAACCGCCCGTATCTCCTTTGCTCGACGAAATTATGTCACGGCGGCGCGCACATCTCGGCCGAAATTCTTCTTCTCGGCCCGGATTGGATAATCGCGTGTCGCTCGGTGCGACAATACGCGCGCGTGAAAACGTACAAATAAGAGGGCGTTGTAAAGGGGGCGTTTCGACGATAAAAATTGTTTTGAAAATTCGGAGATTTTGGAATTGTATCGGATCGATTATCGAGTATTTATTTACCTTTTTTTTTTTTTTACGCGTGTATATAAACGATTGTGGAGAAATCGATCAAGGAAGATGTATAAAAATGAAAAATCTTCGATTTCTTGACTTCGGACGAAAAGGAGAGAAGGGAAATTCGAAGTA